CTGACTATGGGGTTACGGGGTATATGTGACTTTTGACTGGATGTGGTGCTTGGAGGGGACATTGATGTCATGCTAGGAGCTAATGGGAATTTTCTTTAGGCCCCTGGGAAAGAAAGAGGATGTTGTAATCAAGGAGAAAAGAGGAAGTGGCCATGTGAGTAAGCATCCCTGAGTTCACCTTCTTCCACCTTGAACTACCACTATGAGGTCTGGTAATTTTTCTAGGGCAAAACTCTTTCAAGTACATCCTTTGGATTGAATGAAGAAATCAAAACAAAGAATTTTTGCTATCTGTCTTCCTCCATGGCTGGAGATAAGCCATTCATAAGAAATATTTTGATTCAATTCCTTAATGCATTGTCGATACCATAACCAAAATTACAGATCAGTTCACTTTCAAAAAAAGAAGCAGCACTTAAAGGCAGGGATAAAGGCCTTCAATGCAAGTATCCCTGGCAAGGTGAGTTCAACATTGTGTAATATAAACTACAACTGATTTCTCTGACTTCCAGAAAGAGAAAAGTTTATACTGATATTGCTATAGCAAAATCAATCTCCAGGTATGCTATGTCTGATATGAGGTTTTTGTTCTGTAAAGTCAAAGACTGAATTTTAGGAACAACAGAAATTAACAGAAGAATATACTTATTGAGAGAAAGAAAGCTGCCTGAGACAGAGAAGGGGTCCTGAGCAGGTTGCCAAATACTGTCCTTTCTAGGGATCTTTATAGAGTAAAATCATGTGGTGAAATTAGTTTAAGGAGGGGAAAACTAGGAACTCACAATGCAGATGGGCATAAGATGGGACAGAGCTAAGGTAGCCAATAAGATTATAAGTTCAGGTAAAGTTGATTAAATTGGGAACAAAGAGGGAAGGGAGTCACATAGAAAGCAGGCATTCTTAGGCAGCTGTGACTTCCCTTAGGGGTTTGGGAGGGTGACTACTGAGGTCATCAGGATGACAGGAACTATGTAGAAAGTCAGTCTTTAACAGGAAACATTCCTTTCAATGGTGACTTCTGACTTCCTCAGAGTGCTAGGGAACTATTTAGAATATCAATCCTTAGGATATGGATGTATTTGCTTTTCATTTGTCTTCAGCCTTGGCCCATAGCATGAGGTGTCAGTCTTCCCCATAGTTGCAAGGTATCTGGTCTCCTGCATGGGCTCCTTGGGGGACCTAGCCCTGTCTCCTGCGAATACTATTTAAATAACTCAGGTTCCCTGTAACAGTACTATTTGGAAAATTGATTACAGATGTCTTGTGCTCTATGTGAATGACATGGGGATGACAATGTGCAATGTATATACCAGTGTTGCCCCCTGATTAACATGTTTTGACGTTTAATTTTAGTTGATGTGTTCTTTTTTCCTTGAAATCAAATGGATTTGAAAATTAAAAGCCTGAGGTAAAGCTCTTCAGTACAAACAGTCCTCTGTTGAGCTGAGTTCACCACTGTAGAAGAATGGCAGCTCAAGAAGCTTCTGCACTACAGTCTATCATTTTGGATTCTCTGTTGCAGGGAGGGGTTCCTTTCCCTGTTTATTCTTGACTCAGAAGGAGGGCAGTAGAGCAGGAGTCAATCAGTGATGAAGGGGCAGGCTATATGAACTGTCCAATCCGACGGCTATTGCTGGCTGTGACTTCTGTCTCTTCTGATGTCTCATCATGATTTACCTGTTCTGAGTACAATACTGGTAGCAAAATGCTTTTTGGATCTCATTTAGTACTTTTGATGTCCTGTGGCCTGATTAGCAAAGAAGCTGAGAGATCTTGGAGCCATGGAATGGTGAGGTTGTGGATGGGAGCCCAGAGATAGGGTGGATTGGGTGAAACCAGTTACAAGTATTTAGGAGTAGTTCTGGTGTCTGGAGCCTCAGGTATTTAGTTAGCTTCAGCTCCTGAGGTCCTCAAGCATTGGCCATGGGTCATTCACTGTCCCTTTTGCCTCTTGCTGTTGGCAAGAGTGATTTGGGGTCCCCAGAACCCTGGCTCCACTATGACAGCAGCAGATTCAAGTATCATCTTTGAAATTCACTGCTGGCCAGGTAACTCCACAATCTTAGGCATTGGAAAGAGCTTGGGAAGACCCTGACTATGATGCTTTTTGTAGCTTGTAGAGCAGTAATGAGCTAGGTCTGTGCTCTCTTTCCCCAGAGTAGCTGATCTGGAATGTCCAAAGTTCATTAATGCCTGTAATGCAGGGCCTTATAGTCACAATGGCTCAAATTAAACTTTGGCTTTTTTGTATTTATAGTGGTCTCCTATATTTATAGTATGTTCTCATATTTCCATCATCATGACAGGTAGTGGCAAAGTCCTGAGAATTCAGAGATGTGCAGTAATGTGCCTCAGTAGAGGAAGGCTTCCCAAACACCTGGTAAACTCCTGTGTAGTATACAGAACAGTGCAAAATAATTTCTGAACATACTTAATTATTTATGTGGCACCCCTGCTCACAGACTAGGTTTGTGAGCACAGCCATAGAGTTTTGAAGTTTGAGAACAATGAAGCAAATATGAAAGTGTTATCAAGGACAGGGTAAAAATTTGTTAATGACGAATTCCACAAAGGGCTACCTGTTAAATTATCATCAAAAATGCCAAAATTTAGGCATTTGCAGGGACATATACACATCACACCGTTCTAAACGGAAAGGAATAGGGGTGTCATCTGAATTAAGACCTGATTTAGTAGTTTGGTTGTTCATAGACAGTTTAAATATGGAAATGCTCTGCAATGGACTTTACTAAGTGGTGTAAAGGAGATGCTCTAAATAGAAATTTTGCAGTGATATCAATTGTTTGGCATGAAGGGTTTCCTGCTGAGGATGGATCAGAGGAGCATGGAAAGGATGTGCAAGTGACTGACAGGATGCAGGAAGCCAATAGCAGGACATACAACAGAGAGGGTCTTCACTGAAATTCAGGTAGTTCTTAGAGTAAGTATGAAGTTAAAGTTGGGTTCTGATTGCTTCCTTGAGGTGATCAACACCAGCTCTGGCAACAATCAGTATTTCACATCCTTGCCAACCCATGAATTTTCTGTTCCATACTTGAGATCTAACTTGGATTATCTCTAATTATGCCCCAGTGTCATGAAGGTAAAATGTGGATTTTTTTGTACCAAGGATCAAACTCCTGACCTATGCTTTCCAGGCAGGCGTTCATGCCACTGAGCTAAATACCCAACTATGCAAGTGTTTTCTTTGTTGTATGGCAGATATCCACATTGTTTCTCAGAAAGTGTCAATATTGTTGGAATTTTTCCATATTGTATGGCTATAATTCTTAAAAACAAACCAAAGGTGTCTTATGAATTCTCTTTTCAAGTTTCACTTTGTCTGTGGGGTGTCACAGTCAGGGTTTCTCTATTTTATACAGCTCTGTAACTTAGGATAGCCCAAAATTTAAGGAAGAACTCCTTCACCAGCCTCCCAAGATATATTTCTTATATCTGAATTGAAAGTGATCGCTTGGTGACAGTGAGCTGTAAATTACAGCTTGGGCCTGGTTCCATTTTATATACTTATTTTTTAAAAACAGTATTTTCCACTAACATTTGAGTTATTATTTGTGTACCATATTGGATGTTATTTATGTTTTGTTCTATGAAACCAAATTCATGTTTCAAAATGCTGCTGAAGTATATTAAGAACAAAATACTCACTGGCCTAAATGAGATTTGAAGAGACATTATCTGTAGCCTATCAAAGTGATTGATGAGATTTTTTATTTCTTTTTTTAAATTTTGAAAGTGGTAAATTACAACAGAACAAGGCATAAAAAGGCCGAATAAGATCATACAGTGAAATTGGTACACTACTTCACGACAGGTTACTGGGATAACAGTAATATGTATCACAGCATATTTTATTATCTTTATAATAGTTGTTCTTTTGAACACGTATATTAAAATGAGATGAAATACAGAACATTATAGTACTTATCAAAACAGAATATTGAATAGAGCAATACCATTAATCAGAATAGAGCAAAACAGTAATAAAAAAAATATTTGCCTTCAAAGAGATAGTACAAGGAAGTCCCCCTTATTTGTTATGGTCTGCTTCCCAGGAGAAGCTCAGATTTCTGGTTCCCTTTGCTAACAGGGGGTGACAGGAGAAGAGGGGTAGGCAAAGGGGATGTTATATTCTAGACCTTGCATCAGTAGGTTCACTATTGCTTAGTAGGGAAACAGGCTGCTTCTTTGGTTTCACAGCATCCAAAGTTCCCACATGGTGTGGCTCTCAGGAGCTGCTGCTGGTTCTCCCTCTGGAAGGGCCACATTCTGCCAGACTGCTTCCGCTTATCAGGGAGAAGTGGTGCTTGCTTGCCTTCCAAGTGTCCTAAATTCCAGCACGGTATGGATCTCAGGAACTGCTCATGGTTTGCCCCTGGATGGGCCATAGTCTGCCACATTGCCACCACTTATCAGGGAAGGGAGGTCCTTGCTTGGCTTCCCAGTTGACTGATGGGATATTTATCTGCCTCTGTGCTTTGTGGATGCTGGTCCTGCAGGCTTCTCACTGTGAGCTCTGCTTTAGAGACAGTATACAGGGAATCTTGCCATGACTCAGCACAAGAATCAGTGCTCTTATTTCACTGTTACATTAGCAGTGAGTTGCAATCTATCATCAAACTTGCTGTCTTCAAAAATGTGTATATATACAAAATTAATGAGCAAAACATGGATTTAAATTTGAAGAAATCAGTCTTCATTCAGCTGTTTTGTTTGGTTGTATTTGTTTAGTTTGGTTTTGTTTTATTGAGACAAGCTTTCTATATGTACATCAGCTAAATTTTAACACCCTATGGAGCCTAGAATTGCCCTGAACTCACTGAAACCATCCTGCCTCAGCATTTTGAGTGCTGGCATTATAGATATATACCACCACACTTTGCTTTTGATTCAGATTTGTAGGAGAGAATTTACGATATCCCAAACCTGGTGTCTCAACCTTCATGTGAGAAATATATGTATGATCCTTTAGGAGGTGGTGACCTTTGAGGATGTGGTCGTGAACTTCAGCAATGAGGAGTGGACTTTGCTGAGTCCATCCCAAAAGAACCTCTACAGAGATGTAATGGGTGAAACCTTTAGGAACATGACTGCAATAGGTAAGGACAAAATACTTTTGTCATTCATGCTGTCAGAATGTTGTATGTCGCTGTTTCATTAAAAACAACGTGAAAATATTTTTAAAAATAGCTCAGACTTGGACACATTATATCATAACTCTAAACAAAATCTATTAATATGTATGTATTATTCTAATGAGCACTGGTAATTCTATGTCTACAATTCAGGAGGACTTGGGGATATCCAGGAAGCTGAAAACGAATGCAAAATTTACTGGAGATACTTAAGGTAATTCGCACTCATAAGGAGAAGGAATGTTCCTGAGTAATTAGTGAGTCAGCAGAAAAATACCACCAAATAAATGAGGCACCATTCAATTTATTGTCAGTAATATTCTCCAAAGACGTATAAGCTAGGGTATATATAATGAGTGGATTAAATCAAGAAAATGTATGGCATTGCATATAGATGTGTATGAAAGGCATACGCTTTGAGTTATGACATTCTCTCTTCAGTTTTTCTACCCATATATATATGTGAATACAACACATTCATCATCTAAAAATTGCTAAGATTGCAATAGAATTTGAAATAAAACAGAGTTTTTGTGTTTCCAAGCCATGCTCTGAAGAATCAGCCATTGCGACTAAAATTCTTAGAAGGCTGGTAGAATGTTAATTGCACTCATACTGAATATCAGTGTGCAGTTGTCTCTAGAAATTGATCCCCTCATACTTGTCCTGGATATATTTTTAAAAATTCAAAATTCACATAAAATACTGATACATGCTTACTCATATACAAAGCAGATCAAGTTATAATAGATCAGGCCTTGAAGAAGCTTAGCTATCTATCACTGGATTTGTGGAGAAGGAAAATGTTAATAGACTCTTTGTGATTGTGCATTCTTGTAAACCCAGCACACTAGGAATCAGAATTTGCAGAATTGCAAATTCAAGTTCAAATGTCACAGCTTAATGATCAGTGAAAACCTCTTAAAACACATTTAAAAAGCTATAGATTTTATGGTAATAGCTGTTGTTCATTCCCAGCATGGAAAAGAAAAAAATGCATTATATAATGTCAAAAAATAAAGAATATAATGTCATTTGCCATGAGAAATAGTTGGTTCTTTCTCCCATCATTTCGGTGAAATAGCTCAGCTATGAAACCTAAAAGTTCACAGGGTTTCTCTTAGATGAAAAACCAAAATATAAATTGTGGAATGAAAAGAAAGAGTTAATAGAGAAAAGTAAGACTGACCATATGGAAAAGGGAACTACAGGTTAAGGGCGGAAGGGAGATTGTGATGGGGAAACATATCATAATGATCTGTATGTGATACACATATATACCCATGCCCAAAGTGAAGATAAAGATTCTGCATTTCAAAAGGTACCAAATTTTAAGATTTCTAAATGTGTACCAGTCTTTTGGGAATGTTTGTTTTCAACATGTCTTACAAGGCCATTCTGTTACTTCATGGTCAGAGTTTCTTAGCAGGCTTTAAAAACAGAACTTTACATTAATGCAATCATTAAACTGAGACCCATTTCACTGTGAACGTTTCTTTTTTTATTTAATGTAAGGAAAGACTAAAAAAACAAAGTAAGTAGAAATGATACCACTTTCAAAGTGAAAATAAACAGTAAGAAATCTAAAGACAGTGATGACATATGATGCTCATAGAAATAGTTAATGAAATAGCACATGGGCAAATTGTAAAATACAAAAGTGAAACATATGTTGTGGGGATTCAAACAGCGAGACTGCAAACAATTTTGTTCAAATCTCCAATAAAAACTTAGTAATATGTTTATCAATCCGATATGTGATTTTTTTTTTTTTTTACAGAAATGACAAGGTAGGGAAATCCTATGGACATACATGTTGGAATCAGTGTAAAGAAGTATTCCTTCGTACTGCAGAAGTTAATGTAAATGTGAAAGAAGCAGAAACACACCACAATGTTCAGATCCATGAAAAATATGGCAGTGAGGAGAAAGCCTATGTATGTCAGCAATGTGGAAAAGGGTTCACCAAATCTCGACATTGTAAGCAACATGAAATAATTCACACTGGAGTGAAACCATATGTATGTAAGAAATGTGGGAAAGCTTTTAACACACGGACAAATTGTAAAGTACATGAAAGGATTCACACTGGAGACAAACCCTATGTATGTAAGCAATGTGGGAAAGCTTTTACCAGACCTGGATGTTGTAAGGAACATGAAAGAATTCACACTGGAGAGAAACCATATGTATGTAAGCAATGTGGGAAAGCTTTTAACACACGGGCAAATTGTCAAATACATGAAAGAATTCACACTGGAGAGAAACCCTATGTATGTAAGCAATGTGGGAAAGCTTTTAACACACAGACAAACTGTAAAATACATGAAAGAATTCACACTGGAGAGAAACCCTATATATGTAAGCAATGTGGGAAAGGTTTTACCCAGCATGGAGCTTGTAAGCAACATGAAAGAATTCACAGTGGAGACAAACCATATGTATGTGAGCAATGTGGGAAAGCTTTTAACGCACGTGCATATTGTAGGGTTCATGAAAGAATTCACACTGGAGTGAAACCATATGTATGTAAGCAATGTGGGAAAGCTTTTAACACATGGGCAAATTGTAAAATACATGAAAGAATTCACACTGGAGAGAAACCCTATGTATGTAAGCAATGTGGGAAAGCTTTTAACACACGGGCAAACTGTAAAATACATGAAAGAATTCACACTGGAGAGAAACCCTATGTATGTAAGCAATGGTAGAACCAGTGTATATAAGCATCATGAGAATTTTTTGAGCACAAGTACATATTGCATAATGCATGAAAAAGTTCACACTGGGCAGAAAACTTATATATGTAAGGAATGTGGGAAAGGTTTCGGCAGAAATGCTCATTGTCCAATACATGAAAAAATTTACAATGTTGAGAAACCCTGTTTATGTGAAGAATGTGGGAAAGCTTTCACCACACATGGATTTTGTAAAATACATCAATGACTCCACTCTGGTGAGAAAACCTATGTATATAACAATGTGGCAAAGCTTTTACCACAGTCATTGCAAAACACATGAAAGAATTCACACTGGGAAGAACTACTGGCTACGTAAGCAAGTGGAGACACTTTCAGTAGCCAGATTGCAAGTGAAATACGTGAACAAGCTCACACAAGAGATAAATCCTATGTGTTATGAAAATACTCTCAGCACACATGATCATTGTTACATATCTGAAAGAGCTCACTTTATCCTATGGGCATTAACAATGTGAGAAATATGGCCATCCGTGTTTGTTGTTAAATACATAGAAAAATCAGCACACTTCAGACAGTTTAAATCTAAGTTTACTTTAAAAATTCCAAGTAAACCTGAAGAAATAATCAATACAGAAGTTTGATGTCAATATTTCTTCACAAATTTTCCAGAAATGACAAATTTGAAATGGTGCTCTACTCAAGTACATATTTTGTATGGTTTGCAGTTAATCACTTATACCTCTTTAGATTTTTTAAAGTGTCTTTGTGCTTCAACATGACATCTTGTAATTAAACATGGTAAACTGAAATGGGCTTTTCACTTTCAAGTATGGATAGTGTCTATGTACTTAATATTTTGTCTTTAAACCTTAATTTTTATATTTTTGTGAATTATTTTTATTTAAAGAAAAAAACCAAAAAGTGTAGAAATAATACAGAATTTCTGAAAAATAAACAATAAGAAATCACTAGTTGATTAGTTACATATTGTCATCTTAGAAGTAAATGTTCAAGTTACAAAATTAAAGCATACAAAGTGATATTCAAATAATGACACTGCAAACTGTTCACCTCAGTGATCCAACAAAAACTTATTAATATGCTTATCTGTTCTACAAACTTGTTTTTTCTTCTTAAAGATGGTAAGATTAAACATGACAAAACAGAACAGTTCATAAAGAAACAAGTTAAGGAAACACAGGTTTCAAAGCAAGTCCACTGAGATGTTCATTTTTTATCTTACTGTCTCTAGTTTTCTTCAAAATAGTTGTTCCATCTTCACAAGCATTGAATATATACTGAACATTATAGAACTAATCAAATAATTACAGGATGATGCAGGCTTTTTTGATCTTCAAGACTGATTTTGGGGAAGTTGATAATGATTACCATAATGTGTCTCATTCTCTTCGTAGTAGACATCTTTATTTTTATGTATGCTGAAATTGAACATAAGAGACTAAACTAATATCACTCTGAACAGTGAATAACAGTATCCTGAGAAGGAGAAAGGTGAGGAATTGCCTTTAAAAAAAGAAGGCAGAGCACATTGTTAAAAGTGTATTAGGATGTAAAAGCTACAGTATTTCTGTTGCTCTGTTTAGTTTGATTATATTTTGTTCTGGTCTGTCTACTCATATTAGATTTGAGGGCACAGAGAGATAACCCAAAAATGGCAGGTTATACCATGATGGTAATTGTCCTTAATTTCCTATTAGCTAAAACTGAAACCCTGTATTAGTAACATTGTCTTACTCTGACTGATCTTATTTTAAGCTGGTTTGTTTGAATGTTATTTGGCCTTGACTGATTTTATTCACACTTGGTATGCTTGCTGGTATCAAGTCCAAGAGTAGAGGCAACTACTCTGAAGATGATAAGATGTGAAAGATATATATTGTGGGGCTGGGGATTTAGCTCAGTGGCTTAAGCCCCTGCCTGGAAAGTGTGAGGTCATCAGTTTGATCCCCAGTACCAAAAAATAAATAAATAAAAGATATAAATTCCAGGTTTAATTTTTTTATTTAAGGAGAAAAAAATAACATAAAAAAGCAAAGCAGTAAAAGGGTACAAATAATACAGAATTTCAAGAATAAAATACAGTAAGAAACCACTAGTTAATAGGATACTTGTTGTCTTCTTAGAAACAGTTGTCCAAATTATAAAAATTAAAGCATATAAAGTGAACATTCCTACAGCAAGACTGCAGACAATTCTGTTCAATGATCCAACAAAAGCTCAGTAATATGATTTTCCTTCCTACACACTCAAACAGGCACTTAGATCCCTTAGACCACCTTCCTTTCCTCTCTTCTTCACAATAATAATTACACTTCTGTGTTTTCTTTAACTCCCATAGTTCTTATTAGTTTTTTGAAGAGAACAAAACCTCAAGTGAGTTAACAAAACAGAGTTGGTTAGAACATAAGGATGGGCATAGTACTTGATGCAAAAATAGAATATCAGGTGATCAAAAATGGTTACCACTGTGCCTCTTGCTATTTTTAGAGAGTTCCTTATATCATCAGGTATAATAGAATTGATCAAAACAGTACAGAATAAGACCAATAAAATCTACACTGGAAACCTACAGAATTTCAAAAGAAGATAATAGTCAAACCATAATGGGCATCATAGTAAATCTTATTGCCTACAAAGTGGTTCCCTATACTCTCAAACTTGATACTACCAAACAAAATAGAATATAGTAAAATCAGGCAGAACAAGATGGGGAGAGCAATACTGGGGTTAAAATCAGATTAATAGGAAAACAAAAAAAGTTACTATAATATATCCCACTATTTTTTAATTTAGTTTTCCTTTAATTGAAGAAAAATAGAATAATTTTTTTTAAAAAGGGTGGAAATCGAGATAAAAGAGACATTGTAATAGAACAACACAGGTCAGTACTGAACAATTAAAGCATCATTTGGTTTCACCACCAGGTAATCTAACATAATAGTAGTCACCATAGTGCCTCTTTCATTGAATTATTTGAGTATAATTTTGTATACTATAGAATCAATCACATCAAGACAGTGTGAAGCCATTCAAGACAATGAAAGAATTACAGGGTATTTAGAGCCAGTTAACAGAAAATGAACAACGATTTCTATATTATCTCTTTGCCTGTAAAAAATTGTTTTGTACTATCACAGTAAAATATATTAAGATACAACATGTTAAATCCAGTGAAAACATGTACAACAATTTGATGGGAGTTTCAAAGGAGATGATATTAAATCAGCACTAGCTTTTATGATGTGTTATTTTCTTCAAAACAGCTATTTTTGGTACTAAAATAGAAAAACCCAGGGTAAAACCATTGCACTTAATGAGTGAAAACATTATATGGATTCAAACCAATATGACTGGGTATCATGATTACCACATACTTCTATGTATTATCATTTCTTATACTAGGGAATATATTTGGTATTTATACATGTGAGTTTGATTCATTTCACTTATGAGTATGGTCTCAGTCTGTGTCCATTTATTTATATGTCAATGTGATCATTCTTTATAGCTGAGTAGTTATCCATTGTATAAAAGCACCATAACTGTTTTATCCATTCCTCAGTTGATGGACACTTAGGTTGTTTCCAAGATCTGGCTATTACAAACTGTGCTGCTATAAAAATGGGTGCACATATATCACTGTGGAATGATGCTTTCAGTTCTTCTGTGAATATGCCTAGAAGTAGAATAGCTGGGTCAAAAGGTGCTTCCAGTCCCAGCTTTCTGAGAAATCTCCAGACTGACCTCCACAATGGTTGTAGCAGTCTACACTCCCACCAAATGTGCAGGAGAGTTCCTTTGTACCAAGAGCGTCTCCAACATTTGTTGTTGGTGGTTTTCTTGATCTTGGCGATTCTTTCAGGAGTGAGATGAAATCTCAGTGTGGCTTTAATTTGCATTTCTCTAATGACCATTGATGGTGAACATTTTTTCATGTATTTAATTGTCATTTGTATTTCTTCATCTCAAAATTGTTTATTTATTTCAGATGCTCATATTTGGATTGGGTCTTTGAATTTTGGTGATCTCCTTTTTTAAAATGCTTTATATGTTTTAGACAGAAGTCCTCTGTCTGAGGGGCAGTTCACTAAGATTTTTTCCCAGTTTGTGGGTTTTCTTTTCACTACACTGGAGATTTCATTTGATGTGCAGAAACTTTTGAATAAGAGGCGATCCCAATTACTGATTCGGGGAAGCATTTCCCATGCGGTTTGAGTCCTGTTCATCAATTCTCTACCTACTCCTATGTCTTCAAGGTTTTTACCTAATTATTTTCCAATAGATTTAGTGTTTCTGTTTTAATATTTAGATCTTTGATCCATTTAGATTTTATTTTCGAACATGGTGATAAGCATGGGTCTAGTTTTAGTTTTAGGCATATGGAGAGCCAGTTTTTCACCACCATTTATTAAAGAGAATGCCATTCTTCGAGTGAACATGTTTGCCCCCTTTATCAAAATAAGGTAGTTGAGTGTGTTTGTAGTGGTGGTTGTATCTTCTCATCTATTCCACTGATCTTCGGCTCTGTTTTGGTTCCAGTACCATGTTGATTTTACTACAGTTGCTTTGTAGTATAACTTCAAGTCAGGGATTGTGGTGCCTCCTCCCTTGCTTTTGCTGCCTCTAACTGTCCTTGCTATTCTAGGTTTCTTCTCATTCCAGATGAATTTTAGGAGTGATTTCTTAAGTTCTATGAAGTATGTTCATGGTATATTTATCGGGATTGCATTGCATCTGTATAAAAGTTTTGGGAGAATGGCCATTTTCACAATATTTATTCTTCCTATCCATGAGCAAGGGATGTCTTTCCATTCTTTGAGATAATCTTCAATTTCATTTTTCAATGTGTTATAATTTTCCCTGTATAGGTCTTTCACTTCTTTCATGAGAGTAATTCCTAAATATTTCATTTTCTTGGTTGCTAGTGTGAAGGGTGTGGCCTCTCTTATTTTTGTCTCTGTGACTTTGCTGTTAGTGTATAGGAATGCTATTGATTTTTGAGTATTGATTCTGTATCCAGCTACATTACTGAATTTATTTATTATATCTAGGAGTCTTTCAATGGAACTTCGGGGATCTTCTATATAAAGTATCATGTCATCTGCAAATAATCATAATTTAACTTCTTCTTTTCCTATCTTTACGCCTTTTATTTCTCTCTCTTTTCTAATTGCCCTGGCCAGTATTTCCAGTGCTATATTAAATAGGAGCTGTGATAAGGGACATCCTTTTCTTGTGCCTGATTTTAAAGTAAAGGCCTTCAGATTTTGATCATTTAATATGGTACTGGCTGTTGTTTTGTCATTGCCGGTCTTAATTATATTGAGGTAAGGACCATCTATTCCAATTTTCTGCATGGTTCTTATCATAAATGAATGTTGGACCTTATCAAAAGCTGTTTCTGCATCTATAGTAATGATCATGTTATTATAACTTTTGGCTCTATTGCTATGGTGTAGTACATTTATTGATTTACATATATTAAACAATCTCTACATGCCTGGGATTAATCTCACTTGGTAATGGTATATGATCTTCTTGTTAATATGGTGCATCCTATTTGGCAATATTTTATTGAGGATTTTTGCATCTTTGTTTATTAGGGAGATTGGTCTGTAGTTCTCTTTTTCAGTTGGGTCCTCCTCCGGTTTTGGTACTAGAGTGATATTTGCTTCTAGGAACAATTTATGAAGGAATGCTTGCCTTTGCATTTCAATGAAGAGTTTGAGGAGTGTTGGCATTAGGTCTTCTTTGTATTTCTTGTAGAATTCTTCAGTGAATCCCTCTGGGCCTGGGCTCTTCTTTGTAGGTAATGATTTTATTACGTTTTCAATTTCAT